ATTTTTGCATAACATTTAAACAGTCTGTCTCCAAATTCAGTGGGTGAGTACAAGATGACAAAAGATCCCCTTCCAAAAAGGAAGTGAGGGAAAAGTACATCAAGCCCATAGAAATATAAGTCTGTACTTTATGACAGAAAAGGCACTAAGTTTAAGACAGAAATCACCAACTTCATTCAAAAGACAAACTCATTTTTTCTATAAGTATAATGGGGATTTTTACGGGGAATTCTTTGTTGAGGACACACTTTCCATTCTGTGGAAACAAAGTTTTTCCTAAGAAAACATTTCTGAACTCTGTGTAATAACTGATAAAGTTCAAGGCATGTACAATCGGAAAAAGATGTTTAGTTGTACAGTAATTCATAAAAAAGCACAAGACACCAAACTACTCAGCAAACAATGACGCAGTCTAATCAGTTATTTGGTTCATGCATTATTTTGCCCTTGTACTGGGATTTATATACTGATAAAACAAATAGCTCTCTCTTTTAGCCTAAACTGTTAGAGATACAGTATTTTATCACTGCTTGCCTAAACTGCAACTGTAAGTACTGTAACTGTTTTGCTGCGAAAAGTTACTGGAGTGGTGTGGTCATCACCATGTGCAGTCTTCTCCCAGCATTAGAGGAGCCCCTTATTGTTTAGACAAAAGTTTCTCCTTGACTATGCTAAAGATTAATTGCAATTTCTCCTCTAGCAGCTCTCCTCCAACGTAGAGGCAATGGAGGCAGTGGTTTACACAGTGCAAACAAGCCTCATCATGGGCCATGACACTTCTGCTACAGTTTATATATGGTGGGGAAGGGATTCAAACTCTGACCAGCAAAGGACTGAGCTGACAGTCTTGTAATAACAGTATCAGGTAAAGTGCTCCGGTAAACTGCAACCCACTGGACCTTTGATGTTACTAGATATTGGCCTATACTGTGATCCAGACTTCTAGCATCAGCCAGATAAGCCATCCATCCACTGAACACAAACTACAGAGATCCATTTCATTAAAGCGGAACCGCAGTTCCTAGCTGTTCCGGCAGTACAACTGTCAGCAGCTTGCTTTCTGCCATGTGCTATTGCATGTGCAGATAGAAGGTATCGGTTCTCCCTCTGACATCTCATTAACAAATATAACCAATCTGATTGGACAGAAAGCCTAAACTACATCAGAGGAGGACATTAATACGGTATAGTCATGTTTCCATGAAGCCTGCAGAACCTGCACCTTATGCCTTCCTGCTTACACCTCCCTCCTAAACTCTTCTGTTAATGTGACAAAGAAGATGGAAGAGTGTTCTGAAGTAGGTCTACACTCCCTTAACTGCAGCTTCATTACAGGCAAGAGAGCTCCTCTTCCTTTTGGTGTTGAGGAGATATGATCAAGGGAAAACTCCATTCTTCTCAGGACAATAATTACCCTTGGACTAGTAGTTTCATCTCACACATCCACTCCAAACCACACACAAAACATTGAACTAGAAAGAGGCCACAGGGGTCCTCATGCAGAGCTGCCCAGCTATGTGACAGGCACTGAGAACAGACCCTCACACAGGACACTCACCAGCCTAACTTTCCTATGTTCCTAGGTTTCTCACTGCTAAACTTTCTCTTCAGTCTGCTCCTTATGTGGACACCCCGCTTCAACATGTTGAGTGCAGCTGTTTGATTACTCTCTTACCCACTTCATTTGTTTCAGGTCGCTCGTTCCTTGAATTTGTCATTATTTCTTGACATCATCACTAGTCATGCAATAAAACAAGAGACACTAATCACACAAGACAGCCTGGCTTCATCAAAACATCCTGAAACCTTTAAGTGACCGTGACTACTCAAAAGCCTCTCTTCAGATTTACTGATGTTTTTTAAACAAAAAGGAATCCAACCCACCCACCTCAGGATCAGCATCCTTCAGAGAAGCATTCCTCCTCCCCTCTGCCCTGCTTTATTTTTCTCCCAGGCTTGGCTACAGGAAGGAACACCATGTCCCTGCTTTTCTAATGTATCTCCATCTAGTCTATTCAAAAATTTGTTCCTGAAAAAAATAATCATCTAAGTTGTGCAGTCGTTATCATGTACATTTTAGCTTCTGTACTTTTAAAGCAACAGTAGTACAGCGAGACAGCTATAATACTAAAAAAAAAACCTCCTTCATATTAACCCTGCTAAATATACCTTAAGAATTGATAATATTGCATCAGAAGACAGGCATACATGCACCAGCTACAGTTACAGAGTAAACAGCAGCCAGTTCCCTACAATCCTTCAGCATACGTAAGAAAATTTCTCTGACTTCTAAGGTATCAGAACAGTGACTAGCAACTTCACAACACCCTCCCTTCTTTTAAAACTCAGTTATTTGCTTTACAGGCCAATATTAAGATCAGGAGACACAAGAAGACTAATATTGAACAAATGTAGTTACTAGCAAACACATTTTAATGAATATGACACAGCAAGGTACAACAAGGCTCTGTGAAAGGCCACACTAGTCTTCACCCATTTTCTTTATCTGAGCACACAGAGAGGTGTACAGCGAGAAACAGATACACAGTTAAGGCAGTGACCAAAGATAACTGGGTCAGACGCACGTTTATGTAAGGTAACAGTTTAATATTAGCTAGAACCATATCTAGTAAAAACATGTGTTCCAGTAATGAATTTGCTGATAAATTGCTGTTCAGTTCCTGGACTCATGTTGTCAAGTGTAATTAAGAGTTGCAGCCAAGTTGCCAAAGGCTAATTTGAATAGTCAAAGTATCACTCAAAAGTAAATGAAAGTTAGTTGTATTTTAATTCTGTACAAGTACTCAGTGACACCAACTAGAACCCAGTGGGTTTCTGCACATAGAGTTAACAGGAATCACGACAGTTTGCAAAACAGACTGCAAGAGATTTTCTTTAGCAATATGGTATGCTAAGCTTACATTTAATTTGCCACTCCACAACAAGGTAAGTTCACCAAAAATGAAACAAACAAACAAAAAAGACCTGTAAAAGAGGTACTTCCAGAAAGTATTTTTACTTGGGTTTTTTTACCTTGAGTAATTTAATTCCACATGATGCTTCATGCCTAAAGGTTGGTCTATAAATCACATTAAGCAAGGCTAATGCCTCAGCACTTTTCTTAAGTTTGAAAAAAAATCTTGAACTCCAAGTAACTGCCACCTCAGTCGTATACCAGACATGTTTTCCTTCCAATTCATATGTCAATAGTGTAAAGAAAAAGTATTTTTCTAATAGTGTGTTGTAATTCTAGCAAGAAATCCTAACTGAAGAGACAAAAAAAAGGAAACCCTTTCATACCCCACCTTTGAGGGTTAAAAGGTCTGGCACAGATGTCTAAAGGGTTTGTGCAAGTTTGTTCTAAAAGGCTTGCTCAAGTTACCAGGTGTTACACAGACTCCTTCCCAGCAGACAACAAATGATAGCAGCAACTGCTGATTAACGTTACATCGCCACCACAAACCATTACTCCTTCTAGGCATGCAAGGGAGTGTTGATTACACTTCTTGTTGGGGAAAAATATGAAGTGAGACATTTAACACACTGTAGTACCTCTACTGGACATGATCTGATTTCTCGACACTACTTTAAGGTTAATGTTTTATCATGGCAATGAAAGCGCTGATGTCTAGGTAAAAAAAGGTCACAGTAAAATATTCAGCAAGCTGCTTGAAACACACACTCAATTTCTCGTCTCCCCTTCCTATTTCTAAATCAACTCAACTTATTTTTTGGACAGCAGAAATGATGATGGGATGTTCAAAACATTTCTAACTGTCTTTTCCCTATTGTGACAAGCCACCGTGCCCACAAGGCTCTCCACGGACCACGCTGCAAGCTACCATAGAACTTCTGACACCCTTGTAAGATCAGAATTACTAGAAAGCTTCAAAACTATTATGTCTGGTTAAGTAAGCATAAGAAAATTCTTGATTATTTTTCAGCAAAAAAGCCTTTAAATCAAAGATAACATATGACAGCTGTAACATTTCTGGACAAGCTACAGCTAACAACAGTTTCAGAGTTCTCCATTCTTCTGGTGTACAAATGCATTATAATGTTTTACAGACTGTATGCTGTAATTCCTGATCTATACAACTCTGGTCTAGCTATAGAGAAACTTCACCAGGAATTTTCTTGAACACAGAATAACTGATAGAAAGGATACCAGCCTTCCCTCAAAGTTGAATGTGTGTAGAGAGTATTACCCATCAGCAAAATAATTTTAGATATCTGGAAACCTATATCCAGCTTCTAGTTTCTCACCCAAGCTAACGGGAGAAATTAAGAGAGCAGTGATGCAACTATTGACACACAATTAGATTTATGTGCAGACTGAAATTTATACAGTGAATTATCTCATTGCTTAGCTGAGCTGTTACTTAGTTCACTAATGGTTGTAATCATTTGCTTGACTACCTTCTACAATTTCATCTACAATAGTCCCTTTCACCCTTCAAAAAAAATTACAATAGAAATCTAGTATTTTATTACATCTTTTAAAATTGCACCTATATTTCAACAACATAAAGAACAACTTCCAGAAACATATCTGTACCTCCACTGAGCCATTATTAATCAGATCACCTAAGCAAATTAATTGACTAAACACTTAAGATTGAGGAAAAAGCACCATCTAATCTCAATTACTTCAGTTAAATATAAGGAAACATACTAGTATTACACCTACAGGTGCTTCCTATGCATTGATTTAAGCTTATAAGGTAACTTTCATCTCTTGAGGATTAAATAAGACCCATCACTAAGAAAATACCTAAAAAGAGAGCTTAAGACAAGCTCTCTCCCCAGGCGTTACAGATTTTCTTTTACTTTTCTATTTTTTAAACGAGTTACCACAGTCTGGGAGAGATGTATTTGCAACGGGCACAGAAAAAATCTGCTTAGGGTTTCATTTAAATTACTTCTTAAGTTTTTGTCTCACAAATGTGAAATAATTACTCCATTCATCCACCCAAGTTCAAAAAAATCGGAAAACTTACAGTTTAATGCATATCCAAGTTCAGAGTTAGAAGTCGCAGGACCTTATGTGCTCCTCGCCTACGAAAGTAAGATTAGTAATTCCGGTAAGAGCACAAGGTTACACACACGGAATAACAGCCTGAAAGCCTAACCCAGGAGACAAGCACCACGTTTCAAATAACCGCCTTAAATATGGCCTCATCCCTCAGGATGTACCCCGAAGTCACAGCTGCCGTGCCCCAGCGCGCCCTCTCCCCACGGCGGCCAGGGACGCGGG